ACTACACCTAATTACAATAGGACTCAGTTATACATATCCTAACAAACTACAGGTTACAACATATCACAACAAATCATAACAACATATAGAATCTTCTATTCCAACACTCCCCCTCAAGTTGGAGCATGAAGACATGAAATGCCTAACTTGGAAAGAACGGCAAGAAATGGAACACGACCAAGTGCTTTGGTGAAAATGTCTGCGAGTTGCAAATGAGAACGAACAAAAGTAGTTCGAATCGTCTTAGAAACCAACCTTTCCCGGACAAAATGGCAATCAATTTCAATGTGTTTAGTTCGCTCATGGAACACAGGATTTGTCGCGATATGTATAGCGGCTTGATTATCACAACATAATTCCATAGGATCATCATGGATAACATCAAGTGAAGCAAGAAAAGACTTCAACCATATCAATTCTGCTGTCGCGGCAGCCATGGAGCGGTACTCAGCCTCTGCTGAGGAGCGTGAGACAGTGAGTTGCTTCTTTGTTTTCCAAGAAACAGGTGAGGTTCCAAGCATAATGAAGAACCCAGAAACTGACCGGCGAGTTAAAGGGCAGCTGGCCCAATCTGAATCACAGAAAGCATGAATTTTGAGATCACTTTTGGAAGAAAGGAGGATACCTTGGCCAGGATTCATTTTGATGTATCTTAGTACCCGAATGGCAGCCTCATAATGTGCTTCCTTTGGAGCTTGCATGAACTGTGAAAGAGTGTGCACTACATAACTCAAATCAGGACGAGTGATCGTAAGGTACACTAGCTTGCCGACAATTCTTCTATAGCGACCTGGATCATCATAGTCAGGTCCATCTGCCAGAGCTAAGCGATGATTCTGTTCAATTGGAAGCTGAACCGGTTTACAATCCAACAAACCTGTTTCTTTGAGGATATCTAATGCATATTTTCGTTGGCACAAGAAGATACCCTCATTGCTACGGGCAACCTCGATGCCCAAAAAATATTTCAAGTGACCCAAATCTTTAATTTTAAAACACTTGTTAAGATAAATCTTAACCTCTTGACATGCTTGGGAATCATTGCCTGCCAACACCAAATCATCAACATAGACTAGTATGGTCAAGAAGGTAGAACCACGCTTCAAAGTGAACAAAGTGTGATCTGCTTCGGATTGAACAAAACCGTATTTAATAAGTGAGGAACTCAACTTTGCAAACCAATTCCTGGGAGATTGTCGTAAGCTATATAACGACCTTTGCAAACGACACACTTTTCTTCCTTGTCCTTGATTAAAGCCTGCCGGTATGCGCATATACACTTCTTCGTCCAGTTCTCCATTAAGAAACGCATTATGAACATCCATTTGGTGCAAGTACCAACCTTTTGCAGCTGCAACCGAGAGTAGAGTTCTAACACTCACCATTTTCGCTACAGGAGCGTAAGTTTCATGGAAATCTTCTCCTGGAACTTGATGATTACCTGCAATTACCAACCTTGCTTTGTAGCGCTCGATGCTACCATTGGAATGATATTTAATTTTATATACCCATTTACATGGAAGGGCATGTTTGCCTGCAGGTAAATCAGTGATAGTCCACGTATTATTTTCTTCTAGTGCATGTATCTCCTGAGCCATAGCTTTACGCCAAACATCATTGGTCATTGCTTCTTTAAATGACCGAGGTTCACTACCTGCATCAATAGCAGCAACAAAAACTCGATGTTTTGAAGAAAAATTGTTAGTATTCACATAGTTGGCAATTGGATACCGTATACCTGAGGTGGAGCTAGAAGAGGTGAGACTGGGAGTGTATGTATGTGCCTCAATCAGATTACATTTGTAGTTACTCAAATAGGACGGAGGCCTTCGTGTGCGTGCTGGACGAAGAGAATCGTTTTGAGCTGATTCTGCACTTCTTTGCACAAGTTCGTGAGCTGAATCTTCATTCCTTTGTACGAGAGCAGGAGCTGGATCCTCACTCCTTTGCACTTGATCAGCATTTGATGTAGAATCTTCATTCGGCTCCCTTTCAGACTGATGGACACTCCCCCTATCTTCCAACTGCACTTCTGCCTTACAATCATTTGAAGTTGATTGAGATACTGGATTGGCAGAATCATTAGAATCTATTGGTATAAATGTAGGTAATGATGGGCTAGGTTTAGGCACACTTATAGATACAAAAGGAAACTCATCTTCGTGAAAACTGACATCTCGTGACACAAAGAATTCCTTAGTATTAAGATCATACACTCTCCAACCTTTCTGCCCATGAGGATAACCAACAAACATACACCGCCTAGACCGTGGACTAAATTTGTTTGTAGGTTTTGGTTGTGTCACCGCATAACATAGGCAGCCAAATATCCTTAAGTGACTGTAATCAGCAACAGATCCATGCAAAAGCTCATAAGGAGTTTTGCCATTGAGAAGCTTTGTGGGAGTTCTATTAATAATATGAGCTGCTGTCATCACACTCTCTCCCCAGAATTTGATTGGCAAGTTTGCTTGAAACAAAAGAGCACGAGACACATTTAGAATATGCCTATGCTTCCGTTCTACCCGACCGTTCTGTTGCGGCGTATGAACACAGGATTTCTGATGAAATATACCATTGGCAGTGAATAATTCAATCATCTTGTTGGAAGTAAATTCAGTTCCATTATCTGATCTAATACTCTTAACTGTTGTATTAAACTGATTTTGCACCATTAAAAGAAATTTTCGTAACACACCAGAAGTTTCACTTTTGTCACCCATCAAACAAACCCAAACAGCACGACTGAAGTCATCGACTATCGTTAAAAAATAATAAGCACCAGAGAAAGAGGAAGTGCGGTAAGGACCCCATGTATCACAATGAAGAAGATCAAAAATTTTATTACTCTTTCGATCACTAATGGGAAACGAGGATCGATTTTGTTTGGCACGATAACAAATATCGCATGCCTTATTGTTTACATTGCCAAATCGAATGCTACTAGAAAAAGGAATCAGAGAAAGTGCTTCGGATGATGCATGGCCCAACCGCTTGTGCCAAAGTTCTTGCGTATCACTGGAGCGAACTGTTAAAGCTGCTGCTTGGCTTGGTCGAAACACATACACACCATCCCTGTGATCACCCAATCCAATCTCCGTCCTCAGCTTGCGGTCCTGCAAAACACAACTATTATTAGTGAATACCACATCAACATTATGTTGTCGTACCAACTGAGATACAGATATCAAGTTACACTTTAAATTTGGCACAAATAAGACATTGGATAATGAAAAAGAAGGAGTAAACGAAATAGATCCTTGTTGCACAGCATAAGTAATAGCTCCATTGGGTAAACCGATTGCCAAAGGTTCAACATCTGTAACATTCTCCAGCAATTCCAATACCCCTGTCATGTGGCGTGATGCACCACTATCTATAAGCCAGTGACAATGGGAATCTTTACGATTTAATTTGTCCTTTGAGCGTTGCGGGTTGTCAACCAATGATAACAATTGTGTCACCACGTCAGGTGTCAGAACGGCGAATGCATTTGCTTGCTCTAGTGGTTCCTCCGTTTGAGCTGCGTGTGCACCAAATGGCTTTGCATGGAATCCTCCTTGTGGGTTACTGCTCCTATCACCACCGAAACGTCCACGTCCTCGTCCAGGTCCTCGTCCTCTGCTACCACCACGTCCAGGATAGCCAAATGCTTGCCAGCATCGAGAGGCTTCATGATTAGTTTTCCCGCAGTGAATGCATGGTGGACGTTCAACAAACTTTTCCCAATTCTCGTAGTTGGCTTCTCCTCTCAGCATAACGGTTGTTAAAAGAATCCCTGGGCTATCTGATCCAGTCAGATAGAATGGTGATCCAGGGTCTGATGGCTTCAACCTGCTGCTGTTTTCATTGGCCATCTTCAACAGAAGCTATCTCCTGCTCACTGTTTTCAGAGTCTACACGTTGCGGAATTTTTTTTTTTTAACAAGGGATCGCTCTGATACCATGATAAATGGTATCAATTGATAGTATTTCCATTGATTTAAAACTGTACATCAATGTATCTTAAATAGAATAGGCTGTTACGGCTGTTACCAAACAGTCTGTTACCAAATAGTAAAACAACTTCCTAAAGATAAGTAACTACACCTAATTACAATAGGACTCAGTTATACATATCCTAACAAACTACAGGTTACAACATATCACAGCAAATCATAACAACATATAGAATCTTCTATTCCAACACAAATCTATTCATTATATGCTTAAATTGAAGAGTTATTTTCAAGGAAAACCATGTCACGAAAAGAAAGATCACAGTTAGCGAGAATTTTGTACTGGAGATAATGCACAAACATACAGATGGTGTCCTAAATTAGGCCACTCGCAAGTATACTTACTGAAAATCACCCTTTATGATTTTGGATTCAAAGCTTATTTCAGACTTAAGGCTTGCATCTAGTTATTTCAGAACAGAGATGGCGTTCTATGGATTATTTTTTTATAGAAAAAAGGTATTTAGAAAGAAGTGTGTGATTTTATACTAAGGAAGGAAATCTTTCAAAGGAAAAAGAACAAAATACATCAAGTGAAAAGGAAGTAGGAAAATGCAACAAATCAGCCCAATCTTGTCTCAGGTCAGGAATATAATTTCCATGAACATCATTGGCAAATCCCATTGAGAAGGCCAAAACACCATGTTATCCGAAAGTAAATTCACCGACAAAGAACACTCTTCAAAATACAAATATTGGATGTAAACATGATTTTGGCCCCATTTAAAGTACCAAAAGAAATTTAAGCCACAAAAGATAAGCTGTTTTAAAATGGAAGAAAAGTGCTTGGCTAATAATTGTTAGTAATAAACTTCCAATGGTTGAAAATGAAATTTCAGTTTCGGCATTCAATGTAGTGTAGAACCGACAATAACATAAAACCACGTAGATTTATGGGCAATGTTTTTCTCATGTTACATGAGATAACATTATCTTATGTAGAGATAAAATTAGATGAATCTTACAATTAAAAAAAAATATTGGCTCAGATTTCGATGCGTGTAACATGAGATAAGATTTTTCATTTAATATGAAAATATTTCCCTAAATTTATATGACCAAAAAGAAAAATGAACAAAGATCAGGATTGACATAAATCTAAAAATAAAGGAGCAGCCAGCAAAACGAGGACGAGATAAGATAAACGAGACAACGAGTTGTTGGCTCATTCGTTTTCTACCATGACAATTGGCTACTATAGGTCTAAGCCTGCATGTAAAAAATATATAAACTTTACTTGCTAGAGTCTAGAGAGACGAACTAACAGAGTTTTTATTAAAATGATAAAATAAAGTAGACATTTATTTTCACTTTGGATCTTATTTAAGCTTCACATTCTTGACAATGTGTAGTCCATCGCGTCCACGAGGCAATCTGCACCCACAAAAAGACAGAGACTGTTAAGTAATACAGAGCAAAGACTAGTACCATTTATCGAATTTGAGGCTAAAGGGTAACCTAACCTGCATCTTCTTTAGTGAAACATAGGGGAGGTGTAATTCTGAATACATTTCCATAATAGCCACCCTTTCCAACTAGCACTCCTAATTCTGTGGCAATGGAAGAAGAGCTGATTAGTAACTTCCAAAACAAACAAAAAAGATTACCATAAGAGGGATTGAGACTTTACCTTTCATTTGGTCCATCACGTGAAGTGTTTCATCTTTAGCTGGTGTTTTAAGTTCGCGATCAGAGACAAGTTCAACTCCAAGCATCATTCCACTTCCTCTCACATCACCAATTACTACATAAGAAGAAAACCAAGAAATTTGTAATGCTTCTCAGTTAACTCTCTCTCTCTACAATAAATTAATATATGCTTGTGCACTAATCTAGAATGAGCAAGAAGAGACAAAAGATTACATTCGTATTTTTCCTTGAGAGCATTAAGCCTATCTTTCAAATGGGAGCCCACTACAAACGCATTTTCTTGAAGCTTCTCTTTCTCTAATACTTTTAAAACAGCCATTCCTGCAGCAGTACAAACAGGATTCCCACCAAAGGTGTTAAAGTAACTTCGGCGAGTCAAGACCTTTGCAATCTCAGGAGTGGTAACAACAGCACCAAGAGGAATGCCATTTCCAATGCCCTGCCAACAATGAGCATAAACATACTTAACATACAAATAGAGGACATACATGCCTTATGTTTGCTAAATCAAATAAAGGGCAGAGAAGAGTTAAGTTACCTTTGCCATTGTTACTATGTCAGGTACAACACCATGGGCCTCAAATCCCCAGAAATGGCTACCAATGCGAGCAAACCCAGCCTGAACCTCGTCGGCAATACAAAGACCTCCAGCTTTTCTAACACTATTGTAGGCAGCAGGCAAGTAACCAGGAGCCAACTCAACGATGCCCCCCACTCCCTACCGTAACAACACCAACATCATAAATATGTCTTTGTTGACAAAAACGCTTATGTAATTATGGTATGACTAATTCACCTTCAGATACCAAACATTGGCACAAGTGGCAAAGAGCTTGTGTCCCTTAATCGAAAGTCTGAATTCAAGAATAAAAAAATAGTCTTGGGAGAGCTATGTCTGAGAGTGCTCCAACCGGATTAACTTAATAAATTATTATGTAATGCACGTATTAGACTTATGACATAATTTTTATAAATTATTTAATTTTTTTTTTAGAATAGAAAAAACATTATATGTAATTTTAAAGTATTTTCACAAAAGGACACCTTTAGGAAAAACTTTAAATCAAATGGTTTCATACCATGTTGGATCCTATGCTTCACTTATATATATATATATATATATATATATATATATATATATATATATATATATGAGATTTACATTTTTGCAGTTGCTGTACGTGCAGCAATCAAATACTTGTCATATATATACTTGAAAGCATTAAATGCGGAGAATCATAACCATACAAAGAATGAAAGCATTAAATGTGAGAAATCATAACCATACATCTGCTGTTGCTGTACGTAAAGCGGCTGCCGAAATGATTTTATCATATTATATATACCTGTATAGCTTCAGATATGAAGGCAGCAACATTTCCGGAAGTTCCGAAATCAATGATCTCTTGGACATCTCTTGCATATTTCTCTCCATCAGAACCAAAAAGACCCCTATAAGGGTCTGGATTTACTGCATGATGAACACCACTCTGTTGGCAACCAAAGAAAAAATAAAATTGTTAGGAAAACACTATTTTACATTCTAAACTTTAACAACACTCACAACCAAAAGGTTTTGGATTCAAAGTAAAAACAAAAGCATTACACAGTATATGGCTTTAAGGAAAAAGTGAATTCACTTGGCAAATGACAACAACAAAAAATGCTATTTTCCCATGACAAGAAATATATTATTTTTGGGCCCGGAAGTCCCGGATACATATCTTTTAGTCCTGATTGAGAAATAAGACATCACGTAATTGTAACAATACTTGCTTAGGGGGTCCACACTTTCACTATCATGGGAAATCATCACCACAACACCTTAGCGCTGATATGAAACTACTTAGTGTGTTCATAGGAAAATCAGTTTTAAAATGCTACCAATAATGAACGATTCGCTTTCATGGTTGATAGAAATATGTCCAGTGAGGCTGAACTCCGTTGGTGTTGCTATCACACACGTACGGATAAGGTTGAGTGAAAGTATTCGTCAGCTACCAAGATGTGTTAGTCAACTTCGTTCTAAGTGAACCTAAGACCCTATATATCTTTTTTAATATTATTATAAGTTAAGAAATTAAAGTAAAATTAGTAAATAAGAAAATAAAAGTGTTTAAATATTATATAAAATTCTCATATCATGTAATATTTTATTCTTTATGTTATTTGAATGATTTAATGAAAAATAATAAACTGGTCTTAACCTATATATTAAAAAAATCATATAAAAAAGAGGTGATTTATTCATCCTCTAATTTTATTTTATTTTGGTTCTCTTTCATTACATTTTTTGTTAAGAAATGAACTAATGTTTGTTTAAAAATTTAAAGTAATAATATTTATACTAGAATAATGTGCAAAGGAGGAAATATATAATATATACCTGTACAACATTGAATTTCCAAATGCTTTGAGCTGTGGTCCCCATCGTCCCAGCTGCATTGCCATGGTAAGAATTCCTCAGAGATATTATGTCATGGCATCCAGTGTACAACTTTGCTATCAATAAAGCCAGTTCGTTTGCTTCCGTTCCAGAATTTGTAAAAAACACTACCTACGTATAATAAACACAGACAAAGGTTTATATACAGAGCAAATGTCTAATATTAAAACATTATCGTCTAAGTTATTAATACTTGTAATTTCACATGTGATCATTTAATTAATTACAAAATATCATATTTCTAAATAAAGCATGTGCAAAAATTTTATAATAATAAAAATCTTGAAGTATTTATCACCACTCCTATTTGTATGTTACCACTACTTTTAAACTAATTTTTTCTTATTTTCCTAAAATATTATTTTTATAAAATAGTTAAATTAAACTACTAAACTATAACTAGTCTATATATATCCACTGCAACGCTAATTTAAAATTCTAATTGATAATTATCACAATTAATTTTAATTTTATCATTTTATTTTTTTTCGAGCCAAAAATATAAAATTAAACATCAAAATATTACCTAACAAAAAAAGATTAGAATTGATGTAAGAATTTTACTCATCACTTGTTAGAGAATAATATAAATCATTAAAAAAGACCTTCACCTAACACCTTAAGATTTTGGGTTGAATTGGTTCTTTACATGGTATCAGAGCTTAAGTGACTACAAGGTCACGAGTTCGATCCTCACCGCCTCTCACTTTAAAGTGAAATTAAAAAAAAAAAAAACTCAAAAGGTAAACCAAAAATTGAGCCTGTACAATTCCACGCTTCAAGCCCAAAAGGCTCTTGCGTGAGGGAGTGTGTTAGAGAATAATGTAAATCATTAAAAAAGGCATTCACCTAACACCTTAAGGTTTTGGGTTGAATTGAATCTTTACATCACTCACTAGATGTCAATTAATCTATATGGACACACATTTTAAAATTAATTAATATAATAAAATATATTTTTAATAAATAAAAAAGAATAACATTATATTAAATAAATAAAAACTATTCAATCATTACCAGAAAAAGAAAAATTACAATTTTTCTATAATAGTACTTGTGTATAAAAATTAGAGCCTATTTATTATGAAAACATATCTCCGGTTATGAAATTAATCACTTGGGATACTCGGTAGTTTGCTATGAAAGTTATAAATATTAATTTGGGATGAAATATATTTATGTTCTAATAAAAAAAAATTGACGCAAAAACTTAAACATATTGATAGTAGACTGTTTGTTTTTATCTGCTAAACAAGATATATAATGGAGAGTTTAGTTGCTTGACAATGACATATGGACATTATGTTTTGGCCACGAAACCAGATGTTTTCATCTATATCCCCCCACGCCACGCTTAGCATTCGTCATCACCCTAGTCCTATAGAGTGACACATTGAAATTGAGAAATAAAACAGTTTATATTAACTATGAATTTAATTTTTCTCCTAACGTTATTTTGAGATTGAGAGAAATATATTTTTATTATTCTAATTTATTTTGAATTATATTAGTCATCCTTATAAAAAAAATTTTCCTCTCAATTCTAAAATGACATCGGTTAAGTAATTAGAGATAATTTTATTCTGGGCCGTTTGGTTAAGGAGAAATTTTTATGAATGATAGGACAATAAGATAAGTAGGGAAATGGTTGAGAAGTGAGTTTGGTAGGAAAATGTAAAAAATGTAGTTTGGTAGGAAAAAATTTTACTGAAAAAATTAGGTAACTTTTGTGAAGTCTATGTTTGACTTTTGGTAAAATTTAGATGGGAAAAAATGTACTTTTACGAAAATAACCTTGATTTTAGAAAACGTTGAATCAGTCAAGTTGCTTTTAAAAAACGTTGTCATGCTATGTGGAAAGTGACAAGTCTGCAAATAGATTTAGTAGGAGATTGTCCTTTGCGCGCAAATAGTAGGTAGACGAGTCTTTTCGTTAGAATGCGGTCTGAGCAAATATGGAGCTTTTCAGGCATACCACCTATGAGAAGGGCAACTTTGGCCTGCTATATGGGTTGAAAATGCTATGCAAATACGTTTGCTGGTTTTCAGATTTAGGTAGGTAACTAAGGAAGTCCCTTGAACCAAACATAGGTATCTTATATGAGTTTTATTAGGGTTAAATAACATGATGTAAGTGTTGTTTCCAACTCTCATATCAAAAGGGAGAGATAAAGTAGAATGATGAAAGAGAAAGAAAAACATGTGGACCCCACCTCTTTAATGTGTGTGTAGGAAAATGAAGTTATATTATGTTAAATGATAAATATAAAACCCATCTTATATTCCCACTTCTCATTTATCTATCATTCTCAACAAAATCCCTCAACCAAACAGCCCCCAGAGGAATACAATAAAAACAATAAACCCATTAACTATCCTTCTTGTCGTAATCCATGCTGATCATGGTTATCTATTCGGACAAAAAGAGAGTCTTATTTATTCATATTTATTTTAGTTTGGAACCTAACAATTATATTTAACTTAGCAAGTTTCCTACTATATGGATCTCGAAAAGAATCTTATTCACTCGTTTTTATCTTGCTTAGAATATAGTTGTTATGTTTAATTTTTTTAACAAATTATAAGAAAAAAACTATTTATTATTATACCGTATTCCTTATTTTAAGTCTTTTCTTTTTGTCTTTTTTTTGAAAATATTCCATCGGTTCATCTCTTCGCGATTAATCCGATTCGGGCGGGTCCAAGATTAAGATTTTAAACCCCTCCCAAAGGTGGTACTAGAGAGGTTCGAACACATGTCTTCACCTCCACCTGCTTAGCTCCCATGCACCAACTGAGCTACCACTATTTGGTTGGGATATTTTCACAGATAACGGTATCAAAATAATCACTCAGATATTATCACAATTAGCTACTAAATATGAGACTCTCCCAAGTATTTCTATTGAACTCAAAAAGTAATTATTATATATAAACAAGGGATAGGATATTGTGACACCCAAGTTATGTTACACCCATGTGACACCCAGTCAATCTCACCGTTAGATCGCTTATGTTGATCCAACGGTTATACTTATTTTTATCTTTGTATGGTCATGATTTCCCAAATTTAATATTTTATATTTATTTCTACCTTTGTATGGTTATGATTTTCCATATTTAATGCTTTCACTTTAAATTTAGGAAATCATGACCATACAAAGATGGAAATAAATATAACCGTTGGATCAACATAAGCGATCTAACGATGAGATTGACTGGGTGTCACATGGGTGTAACATAACTTGGGTGTCACAATATCTTATCCCTATAAACAATACTCCATACATAATATAATAAAATTTTTTAATCAATTATTATTATACAATGATCTTGTATTTTATCAACTCATTTAATAATATAGTAACATCAATGAATGATATAAAAAAGTATATTAATAATCTATGAAAATTATTATTTATAATAAAAAAGTTGCCACCTATATTTATATATTCTACTTATCACTAATTTTAAAAGAAATAATTTTTTGGATACATTCAGGAATTGAACTCAGAACCTATTACACACTAATGACACTATCCATACCCTTTACCATTAGGCTAACTTCGTGGCTTAAAAAGACATGAGTAATCTTATTGAAGGTTTGCATAATAATCTTATTTAATAAACCCTAAACCTTAAAAGAAATAATCTTATTTAAGGTTTGCATAGGTAATCAAACACGAGTTTTAACCAGAGCATATTAATTGGTTATCTTTCTTTTTCCTTCAAATATTATATTAATGGGGTTTGCATTTATTATTTCACATGAACAAAAAAATTCTTACACACACAACATGTTGTAGGGCCCACATTTTTTAAAACAAAAAACTACTGCACGCAAAACGAATCTCTATAACATTACACAGTTACTCTTCCTACAACATAACTCTTATAAAATCCTATATTAATTTATTCAACATATATTATTATATTATCATATACTAACTTCACCGTAAATTTCCGAATCAAACAAAGTAAGGAATACTTCTTAATTTATAACACACATATAAAAACTAAAATTCATACTAGCTATTTGAAAAAGTAAAATTTTCAATTTTTCATAGCAAAAGCAATGAAACATTTAAACATATAAAATTAGGAATTAATCATAAAATTCATATATATTTTTTATGTAAAAGATAAAATTATTTCGAGAATTTGACATGATTAGTATTTAGTATTACATGTATATGTTTGAATATGGCTTACCTTGAGATCACCGGGAAGCTTAGAGGCCAAAGCCTCAGCATAATCAGCGATGGCATGGTTCAGGTACAGAACCGTTGAGTGCTGCAACCGCTTCGTCTGTTCCACGATGGCCGCCACCACATCAGGGTGGCAGTGCCCGCAACACACCGTAGCAATCCCTCCGAACGCATCAAGGTACCTCCTTCCCTTCTCGTCGAACAGGTACTGCCTCTTCCCGTCCACCAGGTGCAGCTGCAACCTCCCGCACACAATCACACCCCCACAAATCAGTTACAATTATTTACTTAGTTAGTTATGATTTTATAGCGCAAATAACATAATCAAATACAGTTATTGTCGCGGTTGTTAAGGATGAATTATCCGGTGCGGCGCGTCCTCACCGGTTTCTTGTAGAAGTGGAAGATCGAGGGGCTGAGGTAATCCCTGCGCTTCGCCATGATCTCGTCGGCGGTGGGACCGGTGTACGCCGGCGGAGAGTAATCGAACGCCGGCAATTTTGGTGCTCCGGCGACGGTTTCCTTCGTCCTCTCCACCGCCGGCTGAGAAATGAATCGTTGCAAGAAGAATCGGCTCTGCGGCGGCGATCGGCGCAGGATGAGATTTGCCGCTAAGGATCCCGCCATTTCGATTCCGGCGATGGCTCCGAGAATGCAGGACCCGACCCGACACCGTGTGAGGAGAGAGAAACAGGGTAGAGAGAGAGAGAGGTAGAAGCGAGGAATGAGGAGGGAGGGAAGAAGAATGGATGAGGATTATATAGGAAATGAGGGAAGGTGATGACGTGGAGAAAGGCGATTAGTTGAGAATTACTGCTTCTGAATTCACTGCGGTAAAAAAAATAGGCGATGTGTCTATACATGGTAAATGAGAACAACAACAATGACGTATCTGTGTATTCTTGGTTGTTTTCACATTTGCAAAAAGTTTTCAATTTTGATATGGGAAAAAGAAGTATGATTTTATGTACCAAAAAAAAAAAAAAAAAAGAAGTATGATTTTAAAAGACATAAATTTGTGTATTTTAAATGATTTACACAAATTATGACTGGTCATATTTTGTGTAAATCACTAAAAGAACACAACTTAAACTTATGTCATTTTAAACGATATAACGTAAACCCTTTTGGTACGGGGGAAAATCCCATGAACGTAGACACTGTAATCTTCATATTTGTCTCTGTTTTGAAGGGTATGCAAATATGGGAGGCATGAGTGGAAACTGAGGTTGTACAAGTGTAGGTTATTATTTTATGAGTTATTTTGGTTAAAATTGTTATTTTTTAATATTTAAATAAAAAAATCTCTTATTTTCTCTTATTATGATTTCTATTTCTTTTACCATAAAACACAGTAATTTTAACTAAAATGATAAATTATATATTCTTTGAAAGGACAAAGATTAATCTCATATATCTAATAATGTTACATATGTATAAATTAATCTCTGTATATAGCTAAATATGTATGAATAAATTTTAGTATCTCTGTATTAACCAAAATACAAAACCAAAAATAAATCCTCAATCGTTCTTTTTTATACATGTTTTGAATGATATATCAATCCATATATTGTGAATAATAGTACAAAGAGGTCACGCATTGTTAAGGGCTTATAATTAACCAGCTGACCTACCTTTGATCTACCCCAAAAGTAATAAACATTTGGTAGTGTACTAAGTGGGAATGAAAATAAGTGTGGCAGGGAGAATTTGGTAGGGCACTATTAAATTTTTTTATAATTATGATTCTTTTTATATATTTAAAAAGGAGAATGAAATATTTGATAGCGTACTAAGTGGAATAAAAAAAATGTGAGAGGAAAAATTTGGTAGTGCATTATTTTTTTTATAATTATAATTCCTTTTATATATTTAATACAAATTAAAAAGGATAATGAAAATTTGGAAGTGTACTAAGTGGGAATGAAAATAAGTGTGGGAGAGAGAATTTGGCAGTTCACTATTAATTTTTTTTTTTATAATTACGACATTTTATATACTTAATACAAATTAAAAAGGAGAATAAAAATTTGGTAGAGTACCAAGTGAGAATAAAAATAAGTGAGGGGGAGAATTTGGTAGTGCACTATTAATTTTTTTTTTATAATTATGATTCCGTTTATATATTTAAAAAGGAGAATGAAATATTTGGTTGTGTATTAAGTGGAAATGAAAAAAGGTGTGGGGGCTCTATCAGTTTCTGGTTTTAGTTTGTTCTCTTGCTTTGGGGCTATGCCCCTTATATGTACCCAAAAAAAAAAAAGTGTGGGGGGAGAATTTGGTATTGCACTATTAATTTTTTTTTTATATAATTATGATTTCTTTTATATATTTAATACATATTAAAAAGGAGAAAGAAATTTTGGTAGTGTACTAAGTGTGAATGAAAGCAAATGTGGGAGGAAAATTTTGGTAGTGCACTGCTAAATTTATTTTATAATTATGATTCCTTTTATATATTTAATACTAATTAAAATGGAGAATAAAATATTTGATAGTGTACTAAGTGGGAATAAAAATAACTATGGGAGGGAGGATTTGGTAGTGCACTATTAATTTTTTTTATAACTATGATTCCTTTTATATATTTAAAAAGGATAATGAAATATTTGGTAGTGTACTAAGTGGGAATGATAACATTTGTGGGAGGAAGAATTTGGTAATACACTGTTAAAGTTTTTTATAATTATGATTCATTTTATATATTTAATACAAATTAAAAAGGAGAATAAAAATTTGGTAGTATACTAAGTGACAATGAAAACAAGTGTGGGAGGGAGAATTTGGTAATACAGTATTAAATTTTTTTATAATTATGATTCTTTTATATATTTAATAAAAATTAAAAACGAGAAAGAAAATTTGATAGTGTACCAAGTGGGAATGCAAATAAGTGTAGGAGGAAAAATTTAGTAGTGCACTATTAATTTTTTTTATAATTATGATTCCATTTATATATTTAAAACAAATTAAAAAAAGAATAAAATATTTGATAGTACTGTACTATGTGGGAGGGAGAATTTGGTAGTGTACTATTGATTTTTTTTATAACTCCTTTTATATATTTAAAAAGTATAATGAAATATTTGGTAGTGTACTAAGTGGGAATGAAAACAAGTGTAGGAGGAAGAATTTGGTAATATACTATTATTTTTTTATATAATTATGATTCTTTTATATATTTATTACAAATTAAAAAGGAGAATGAAAATTTTATAGAGTACTAAGTGGGAATGAAAATAAGTGTGGGAGGGAGAATTTGGTAGTGCACTATTAATTTTTTTTTATAACTATTAGGAAAATGAAATATTTGGTAGTGTACTAAGTGGGAATGATAACGTACAAGTGTGGGAGGGAGAATTTGGTAATACACTATTAATTTTTTTTATAATTATGATTCTTTTATATATTTAATATAAATTAAAAAGGAAAATAAAAATTTGGTAGTATACTAAATGGGAATGAAAATAAGTGTGGGAGGGAGAATTTGGTAGTGCACTATTAATTTTTTTTATAATTATGATTCTTTTTATATATTTGATACAAATTAAAAAGGAGAATAAAAATTTGGTGGTGTACTAAGTGAGAAAGAAAACAACTGTGGGAGAGAGAATTTGGTAATACACTATTAAATTTTTTTATAATTATGATTCTTTTATATTTTAATACAAATTAAAAAGGAGAATGAAAATTTGGTAGTGTTAGAAGTGGGAATGAAAATAAGTGTGAGAGGAAAAATTTGGTAGTGCACTATTAAATGTTTTTATAATTATGATCAATGTTATCAGACTCGACCCGGTAATCGAACCAGTCGAGGTACTGAGTAAATGAGTCATTGGTTCAACCGCTTAAATCGGATAAATATATAAATTTCAAATTTATATTTCAAATTTCAAATTTTTTTAAAAATTATGACAAAAAATAAATATTTATGACATAAAAATAAAAAAAAAACACAAATGCAGTACCCATTATAATAAAGAAAGTAAAAATAATAGAAATAAAGAATTGTAAATTTAAATAATAATAAAAATTAAAAAGAAGAAAATATAGATAAGAAATGAGTGGCCCAAATGAAACCAGAAACCAAAAAGTAAAACCAGCCCATGGTTTTGTGATCTCTTTCTTCTCCGCATGGTTTTGAAATTTCCGTTTCTCTCTATTTCTTCTCTTCAATAGCCGCTGGACATCATGTGATGTTTCTTCTGATGTCTTCGACTCCTCCTTTTTCATCGTCTTTGACTCCTTCTTCTCCTTCTTTGTGTCTACATTGTTCGATTTCATCCCAAATAAGTTTTTTTTTTGACCTGACGAGTCACCGATTTTAGTAAAACCGGCCGGTTCATTCCGATTCGCACTGGGTCATGCCGAGTCACTTACATCTCCGATCTATTACTCTACCCGGACCGGTCCATGACCGGTTTACTGGTTTTCGGTTTGAACCGACCAGTCCGATTTTTGTAACACTGATTATGATTTCAGTTATATATTTAATACAAATAAAAAGGAAGAATGAAATATTTGCCAGTGTATGTGGGAGGGAGAATTTGGTAGTGTACTATTAAATTTTTTTATAACTATGATTCCTTTTATATATTTAAAAAGGATAATGAAAGATTTGGTAGTGTACTAAGTGGAAATTAAAACAAGTGTGAGAGGAAGAATTTGGTAATACACTATTAAATTTTTTTATAACTATGATTCTTTTATATATTTAATACAAATTAAAAAGGAGAATAAAAATTTGGTAGTGTATGAAGTGGGAATGAAAATAAATGTGGGAGGAAAATTTTTGTAGTGCACTATTAAATTTTTTTAATAATTATGATTCCTTTTATATATTTAAAAAAAAATAAAAAGGAGAATGAAATTTTTGTAGTGTACTAAGTGAGAATGAAAATAAATATGTGAGAGAAAATTTGGTAGTGCACTATTAAAAAAATTTATAATTAGGATGCATTTTATATATTTAATACAAATTAAAAAGGAGAATGAAATATTTGGTAGTGTACTAAGTGGAAATGAAAATAAGTGTGAGAGAAAATTTTTGATAATGCACTATTAAATTTTTTTATAAATATGATTCTTTTTATATATTTAATACTATTTAAAAAGGAAAATGAAAATTTGGTAATGTACTAAGTGCGAATAAAAATAAGTGTGTGAGAAAAATTTGGTAGTGTACTATTAATTTTTTTTTTATAATTACAATTCCTTTTATATATTTAATACAAATTAAAAAGGAGAATAAAAATTTGGTAGTGTACAAAGTGGGAATGAAAATAAGTATGGGAGATAGAACTTGGTAGTGCACTATTAAATTTTTTTATATAATTATGATTTCTTTTATATATTTAAGTTTATTTTTTCTAAAGTTACTTTACATAACTTTATCTAATGTTCACCGAAACGATGTCATTTTGGGACAGAAATCGTGGTGTATTGTAATTTTAATTTATTTCAGGGTTATAATAGTTTTTATTATTCTAATTTTTTTATTTTTTAACCCAAAACGACGTCGTTTCGGTGAATATTAGACAAAGTTATCTAAAGTGACATTAGATACTTTTTTTTCCATATATTTAATACAAATTAAAAATGAGAATAAAAATTTGGTAGTATGCCAAGCGAGAATGAAAATAAGTGCGAGAGAGAAAATTTGGTAGTGCAATTTTAAGTTTTTTTTTTTTATAATTATGATTC